GCTTGTGTTTTGACACATTCTTCATAGTATTGCCCTGAGCATGTTTGTAACAACTACATTAAAACAACCAGAAACGAACACAAAATAACTCAAGGCACGATTCCTTTATCACGCATGTCAATGTTCTAAGATTTGGCGAGTAACTAATCCTGGGACTTGATACCTCAAAAGAGAATGTAAAGCCACTAAATCAAATCCAACAAACACAGATCTCAGCTGAAAACAAGACGAACAAACAGAGATTCGTCACGGACTAAACTTCCAGATCTCACAATTCAGATGAACAAAAACCATTTGTAATCGCGACATCAAATAACAGGATTGAATGATAAAAGTCGTAAGCAAGAGCACGGAGAGATTCAACCATCTGCCAATCCAATTGCTAACTAAAATCCAGTGCACAAACAAAAATATACACACCGATCGAATCGAAAAACATAAAAACTGAAAAATACAAGATAAAATAAGCTGGAGGCCATTAGATGCTTACCTTAATCTTCTATAGCTGAGAGCACGCGAATTCAATCGATTAGGGGTTCTCCAACTTGCAGATGGATCGATTGTTGATCAAAAGAATATGAATATTTGTTGTGTTTTTCTATTTATTACAGAAGACTAAAACGCGAACACATGGTCTAACCAATTACTAGTCGCCACGTATGAAGAGATGACAATATATTCCGAGTCGGAATTGGTATAGCGATTCACTATTTTTGTTATGATGAATAAATCTCTATCTCTTCTCTCAATGTATTAATTCAAAACGTGTTGAGTTTAAGTGGCAAATTTCCACGCTTCGGACGCTGATATGACGAAAATCTATGATTCTGATGTTGTTTTTATATTATTTTGGCTCTGAAATTAGATTTAATATTAGACATAAATAATTTTACACATATATTTATTAACTCAACATCTATGTTGTACATGAGTATTAATACTGGTAACTAATTATTCAAGAAACCATAATTGTACTTGTGTATTTTAGGATATGCTTTTAAGGAGAACGTTGCTAAATCTTTGACTTTGTCTCGAGGGAAGTTGAAAGCTGAGTACTTGTGTTGCATGCAGTATGAAGGAAACCTTTATTTAACAAACAAACTCAGTTTCGTTCTTCGTCTTCTTTTTGACCTTTTCAAGAGTCCCATATGTTTTATCATACAATATTTTTTTTTTAGCTGGCCACGGTATGCGGAGCTATGCCCCGACTAATCCGTTGGTCGACCCAGGTCACACACTTGGCAGTGGTGGATAAGTCTCCCAACAAGAGTTTTCTGCATCCACAAGAACTCGAACCCGATACCTTGCTTAAGGGACATCAAACTGCTTACCATTTGAGCCAACCTTCGTTTGTCTTTATCATACAATATTTGACTGTCATCAAATCATCAAGTGTAGGCATCCCAAATCTGGGAGCATTATTTTCCACCTAGACTCTTGATTCCAAATATATTATTAACTTTTATTGGGATGTTAAGGTGAAGTAAGCTTTTTTAGTGTTTTAGTGCAAGATTACGAGATTGGGCCTATTGAATCAGAAATTAGTGATTGTGCTTGTCGCAGGAAACAATGATTTAGAAGTTTATGATAGAGATGAGTTTGTAGTATTATAGAGATTTGCTTGCGACTTCAATTAGGTTGGTCAAGATTGATGTCTTGGAATTGACAAACAAGTTTGTGTACAAATAAAGATCGTGTTGTGAGTTGGGTTATATTGTCGAAGTGTCCGCAGTCGTTCACGTAACATACAAGACAATAAACGTTGTTTGTGTCCAGAGTCTATTATATTTAAAATCGTTCTACTCATATATATAAATATATATACATATACTCAAACAAAAACAATGAAAATGAACAATAAAAAGGCAATATATTATCTACCATAAATTTAATTCCGCAGTACTATTTTCACTTTCAGTGTCGTAAGTATGAGATGCCCAGATCGTATCTATAGCCTGGACCAATCAACAGCAAGGACTGTATTTACAAATCAAATTGTCACAATTCTACATAGCATTTACAGTTACAAAGGTCTTAATGCATACTGTCGGGGATTCCGCCAGAGACGACACTATCATCTACAGGTTTGGGGCCCCCACAAGACCTAGACACTGACTCAAACAGCTTCTCAATCTCAGGCGCACATCTCGTGAAACTCCGACTCCAAAAGTTGTACCTTGGGTTCTGCCATACAAAAAAGAACAAAAATGTGGGTATACGAGAAAAAACACGCAAATTAAATTGACCATGAAATTAAAGGAGAAATTAACAATTACCTTGATGAGCTCGATAAATGTTATCAAAAGTCCCCATGGATGAGGCCTGTTAACTATAAGACGTTCCAGCAGGACCCTCGTTATTTGCTCCTGAATCATTTCCTGCTAGAAGTTTTAAATGTATAGTCAGTCTCATTCATCATATTCGTGCATTAATGGCAAAAAAAAAAAATGACGAGTCAATTTTGAGGAAATTTACATACCTGGTTCGACTCAGCAAACAAGTAAAGGAGGATGAAAGAGAAGTAATGAGTGTGATTGTTGGGATAACGCAATTGGTTAGCGACGGCATTCAGGAATAGGTAGCGACCCTCTGTGTCAAGTTCCATTATCAACGTTTGGAAAATGTCCAACGCAGCACTCACTAAGAAGGCATTCATATTCGCCATGGATTGAGAAGGGGCTCTTGCTTGCAGCTGCTGAATAGCCTATAGATAGAGTTTCAGAAGGTGCTCATAGAAGGTTGCATTACTTATCGAATTTGTAACACCAGAATTTCAATTTTAGGAAAGCTGTTACGAAAATGAACCCATGAGTTTCTGTACTGATTGAGAAAACTATTGTGATCTTGAAAAATTAGGGATTTTCTGTAATTAGGTCACAGAACTCAAGGGTACTGTCGGTAAATTATCATTTATCATATTGAATATACTTCATTGGTGACTATAATGGGGACTGATTTTACCTGCATTCCGACATAAAGAACAAGGGAATTTATCAGAGGAACATTGTAGCGGGTCCCAGCACGAGCAGCATCAATTGGAGAAAGTAGTAGCTTTTGTTTCAACTCAGAGAGAAAAGAGGACCCTTGTGCCCTCGTCTGTAGCATAGTCATACAAGCAACGGGAAAAAAATCAGGATGAATACAAGAGAAGTCGGCGTCACAAATGCTCTCCAAAACTGATAAGTAGCTAATAATTTATCCCTTAACAAGCCAAAACAGATTCTCTCTTGATTACGAAGAAAAAATAAATAAATATTTAATGTGGTTTTCATTAATGTTTCACCTTGAGATACTCATCAACATCATTCTTGATTTGCTTCGCTTTCAGAGCCGCATCAACCTCAGAAAGTATTCTAGGCGATTGACTAATCTCCGCCAGTAAATCAATCTAAATTATCACAAAAATAAACCAATAAATTTTAAAAGTTGAAATTTACAGACCAATATGTACACATTTCGAATCTTCTGCGTACCTTTAAGTTGGGAGTTGATGGATCTGGAAGCCTCATATTGCGAGGAAATGCACTCAAGATTATATTTCGCATCTGTATGCAGCTCGGGGGGATGACATCACAAAAACTGAAATGATAATCGCAAAGGAATTCTGGAAAATCATGAAGCAAGACCAACAATACTCTAAGAGTCCCCTTGTACAGAAAGTGTGCCTAAAAGAGATTCACAAAATAACAGTAACTCAGCAGAATAAACGGAATCAGAACCAAGTAAAATTCGCATAAACTGATTACAAACCGGCTCTCCAAGTTCAGCATTCCTAAGGAATGGCTCCATAAACTGAAACATGTCTACCAGCAACCTCTGGAAATAGGGCCATCCCTTCTGTGCATTTGCTGTCAGTAACTTCGGCATGAAACTTCTGTGACTGACCAATTCCAGCCACGCAAAGCTAAAGCAACAAATCCAATTTAATCGTGAATAAAGTCAAAATTGAAAAGATTAATCTCAACTGTCCGAGCTAATAAGTCAAAATTGAAACTCAAGACAATATTACGAACCAAATAATCCCCCTTTGTATTGAAACAGAACGCTCAAAAAAGATGCAAATAAAAAAGAGTTGTAATTAATGAGTAGGCTGAGATGCAAAAACCAGAAAGATTTTACCACCAGCTAAGAATCAAACACAAACCTGAACCCTGGGACCTTGAGAGGTTGAATTGCATGGAAAGAATTCGCTAAAGCGGTCAGCACCTGAAAGGTGTAGGTTGATTCTTTTGTAAAAAAAACAGAGAAAAATCTAAAGCAGTGATCACAGATGAACCTGTGATCCCTGACAGAAGATAAGGATGAAGTTCTAGTAGATATATAATCAAATTGCAGCATATACCTGAAAGTTGGCACCATCAAAAACTGGCTCCAAGGAACACAAATCAAGCAGCCAATTAATGAACAGCCTAAAATACGGCCTGGGATTAAAAGCCATCTTCTTCTTCTCAGCATCTTTTTGGATAAATTTCACGGTCACAGACAGCACCTAAGGGAACATTAACCACAGTGGAATATATTAACCATCCAAAAGATTCAATAGAAAGTTCAGCAAGTTGAATTCTTACCTTGGGCAGAAGAGAGAGCTTATTGGATCCCTGATCTACGGGGCAAAACTGGAAAGAAAACTCAATCAGACGATACATATCTAAGAGAAAAAAATGAGATGTCAGCTAACATATGGACAGGCCAATTAAACTATGCTTACCTTCAGGATTGAGAACACCAACTTCGCATAGATATCAATAGCTAGGAAAGAGAGTGGCTGTCCCTGATGTGACTGGGAAGGGCTAGAATTGATCACCTCAGACGATAGACAATGCGATACTGAAAGTTCCTGATGTTGAACCGACAGAAGTTCAATTTTCCAGTCGAACAGTTTTTATAAGTTCTCGGCGGGAAAGAAACTTTACCATTATACGACGGAAAAAACGATCTGAAGTTTCATCTCCTTTTAGCAGGCCTTTCTGATGTAAGTGTAAAACATAACGAGCGCACGCAACATCGTTTGCTCCAGGAAGTTCACATATTTGGTACCATTCAGCAAACAACACAGAAACCTATATGCATCATATGAAGAGAACAGAACAATAAATATGATGAGAAGCTAAGGGTGTGTTTGTTAAAGGAATAATTTGAGTGAATTAACTCAAAGTGAATTTCTTTGAGTTAACTAGGGTTAATTTAGAAAAAGTGATGTAGTTAATTGTTAGTGGGATTTTGAGTTTATTAAAATAATATTTATAACAATATTCTCCATTAAACATGAGAATGCCAGTCCAAAATAAATCATGAATGGTACGGTACAATCATACACAAATAGGAGCTGAAAAATGTGGGCTAAAAACATATGCCCTCTTAGTATGGTTAATGATCCCTCAGTACTGTTTTTTTTTTTTTCCCCGAAAAAATGCATGCTTGAATATTTCAGAGACTGAGGTAGCAAACCTACGATCGCTCGAGTTCGATTGGGACACAATTGTAGCTGCTACTAATGGATTCTTAAAATTGGTTTGATGTAAAAGTAGGAGATTGATGATATGATGTGATGGTTAGTTAAAGTTATGTGAGTGGATGAATAGTGAGTTAAAGTTGATATGATGTGTAAAAATGATTGGTTGTTATGATTTAATGATTGGTTGTAATTATTTAATTATATTGATAATATTGAGGATAGTGGTTGAGTTAAAGTTGAGTTAGATTTTGAGTATAATTTATTTGATTCGAGTGAATCCTTTAACAAACACAGCCTAAACATACCCAACATAACTCTGTAGCTTCCTACAAGCAAGAAATACCAGGAGAGAACCCGTGAAAGTATCTTTTACGTAATCGAACAATTTCAACTTCCTACTGTTAATTAGTAACATTCAAATTAGTAAACTAAATTTAGCACCTGCTCATGAAAACCAGCAGGATCTGAATCTGTCAACTCCGTGGCATTGTAGTCTTCCTTGCTTGCTGCAGGAGGCAGGGTAGCCTGTTCCAGATAATTCAGGTATAAAATTCAGATATCAAGACAAACACAATAAGATATGCAAACACAATATCAAAGATGGAACAAGTAGAAGGAAAAAGGAAAGCTAGCCAGGACCTTTTTGTCCCTAGAGGTTTTCGTTGAGTCCTCTTTCCCAACACCCACAGATGACATAGCAGCAGCATTAGCAGGGTTCTTAGCAATTTCAACCAGTTGTTGTAATGACTCTGGAGATCCAGGTCTTGCAGCAAGCTGAACAAACACCCATATCAAGACACCCACACATACACAGCAAGGGGAGAAAGAATATGCAAAATTATAATACAAATGTGCAAGATCATGCCTTTGCCAGAGCATCAACAAGATTGTGTAGTTCTGATAGCACCTTGGAATCGTTGATAACTAATGTCTGGATAAGAGAAATGGCAAATTCTGTTGCAGGCTCTGCAAATTATAAGCCAGTGGAATTTAAACATTTATCGGATTTAACAAATTGAACAAAAACTTTGTGATACACACTGTTTCTTCCTGCGTCAAGAAGCTTTGCCATATGGACGTTATACTCAGCAAGGTTCAATAATTCACTCCGAATAAGACCAATAGTGATATCTTTATTGAACTTCCTATCCTCCTCAGAGTAAATCACCTGTCAAAAAACAGTTCAAGAAAAGGGTAAATAACAATTTCCTTGCAATGGGACAGGTTATCAATGCATCAAACTTCACCTAGGATTTGATGTATAATGATGATTCAGCATTTGAAATAATCAACAAAAGCAAATAGAATGAGGACTAAGTAAATCGTTCTAGGCAAAAAGCTTACATCACGAAATTGAGAAAAAATAATTTTGCAACATGACTTGACAGTGAAAACAATAATTGGAGCTACAATTTATTGAAACGTTGTGGTCTTATACTTATCCAAAACCACAAAGGTAATCATATTTTCAAGTGCCAAACTAACCCCATTTGTTTTGTTTGAGGAAACTGCCACCCTTCATTCTCAAATCTCACATAGGACATGAAAAAGAAATCTCGTATGACAAAGCAAATATGTACTAATAGACCACAATATTGGCTCGTTCAAATTGGAACATGTTTATAAACTATTCAATATTCATGTACAAATACTCAAAAATATTCATGACAAAGTTATAAATATTTACTCATGACATTCATGCAACAATTTTTCTGGGGTGGGTGCAGGGAGAAGGAAGCAGATATTTACTCACGACATTCATGTAACAATTTTTACATAATATAATTAATCCAAATGTAGTATTTTGTATCAAGCATATCAAAGATAAATATACTCGTTACAGCATTTTTTCCATACCCAACTAGTGAGTTCCTTCACTACGAGCTTGCTAACATCACGAATAGCAGCCAGGATAGCAAGGTGAGCAACGACATGAGAACTGTTGGATGCATTCTCATACAAGCCCTTAAAAGCCTACAGCATTAAAGTAAAAAGAGAATATATATATATATATATATATATATATATATGAGAATTATTTACGGCGTCATTAGAAAAATATCTGAAATATTCATCACCTTCTGAGCCACAGCCAATGCAGCCTCATCCCGGCTAATGCATCTCATGATGACTAGAGGAACCTCAGCAATAACTCCCTGCAATAAATCAAATTCGCAATAAAGTAAAGCACACAAAGAATTCACCAAAAAGAAACTATAACAAGAATCATTTGAAAACATATCCAGTAACAGAAAACTACTACTGAAGCAAATGGACGCGTCTGATGTGGATTTTACCTGAATTTCACCGTCCTTGGCATCATTAGCCACCAAATTTTCAAGCTGAAAGGAAATTAGATAAAGAAATAAGTTATTGTCTTTTAATGAAACAAACAAAGCATAGTGATGTCCACCCAATTACATGGATACCAAGTCCTCAAATAATCAGCTATCCAAAAGCCATCCAAAGGAGAGGTATGTTTGACAAACCTTCTCTGAAATGGTCTGATACTTATCTAGAGCATCGCCTGTGGTCATCAAATGCTCTGAGACCGCACTTCCAGGACGTTCCGAAGCCAAAGGTGCATTTACAGGCTGCACAGCAATTGCAGGTTCCTGCAGTGTAGTTCCACAGATCAGTAAGAACACATCCAAAGTATTATAGTATTACAGTGCATTGTAATGTTACCCACTTTGACAGCATTTGAAGGTTCCGCCACTTGCAAATCCGGCGAAGAATCAGGAGGAAATGAAGTAA